CAAGCTATCATTGATATGCAATATATATATATATAGGTGTTTATTTATCACAAGTATGAGTTTACATATCATAATTCACTAATCATTAATGTCCTTGTAGCATTGACATAATAAATCTTACCATCCCAATTTGTAGTTCTATTTGGTATTTATTATTCAACTTGTTTGACTGTATAACTCAGCTTTTAGATCCATAAATCTTAAAACGAGAATCTTTTTATACACAAATTCTGTAAAACTAATACTCGATTAAACATTAAAAGCAAGGCTTTGACAATCTTTTATTCACAGCACTGATTGTGAACACAATGTCTTTAAAGTGCAGATTTAAAATAATTGTGAATCGTGACTTAGTTTGATGCCTGCTAATAATGTAAAATTGTGCACTAAAAGAAATTGTATTTATTTAGTACTTTTGTAATGTGTATCTCTAGAATGCTACAGTTGCTTAAATTGATAGAGAACTCTATGACAAATATGTTAGTTATTTCTATGTGTAAAATTTTAATGTACAAGTTCTTACATTTTAAACTAAACCATGTCAAGTTTTTTATTTCCTTTTTTTATTTTAACATGTCAGCAGTTTTACGCCAAATATCAGTTTACTTTATTATTTATGTTAACTCTATTCCATACAAAGAATGGTACACAAATACAATTAAAAGTAACAATTATTGAATTTTACTTATTTACAGAACTCATAAAAACAGAAATTTTGTTAAAAATATACAGATTAATTTATGAGCACAGATAATTTTCTTAACTTAATCATTAATTGTCTTCAAAAAAAAAAATTGATGGAACTAAAAAAAACTGTAATAAGTGCGCTGTATGCATAAAGCGGTCACTAAAATAACAATGGAAGTTGTTTGTCCTAATATATGAAGTTTGATGTCAAAATTTTTTTAATTTTTGTGTGGACCTAAGAAGTTTGTTCGAATTATCATCGTTAAAAAAATATAGAATAATAAGGGTCAAAAAGAAAAAAACACATTTTTACTAATCGTGTCATTTCTTTTTCCGATAAACTAGGGGACTGCACTCCCTGCGTGCTCCACGCGCCAACCTCCAAAATTTAATCAAACATTCATTTTCTGTATTTTTAAAGACAAGTACAATAATAAAATCTTTGTCATAATACGTAATATTGTAATATTTATCAAGTAACAAATTTAAATGACTTTTCACTGATTTTTCAAAATCTCATTTTCAAATCTACCCGCGCTTGATCAGTCTCAGCCAATCACACGACGAATAAACAGGTTTTATCAGGTGATCCATCGTTTTTTTAAAATAGGATTTTTAACAGGATTTCAGATTATGTGATGTGTTGTGTGTACTGAATATCTTAAGTACTAAAAAAATGATTGGTCGTAAGTACTTAGTAAAAATTTTAATAAATAACAGTTTTTTAAAAATTGTTTTAACTATGTTCAGATAGTAGATATTTATTCCTTACATTATTTAACTATTTGACTATTCACTCATAGTATTAAGTATAAAGAAATTATTGGTTATAAGTTTAGAGTACATAAAATACAAGTACTCCATAAGACAAATGCTTATACACTGTTAAAATGGCTTTACTCGTTTCTGAAATCCTAAAAGATAAACATTTCCAGTAAATAATTTACAATCTGTTGAATTTAATTAGACAAAATTTTGCTATCAATTTTTTAATAAACAGATTTACCATACTGCCAAGTGCAAGTAGTAGTACATTGCGCAGCCTATTCTCTGTGAGCATGTCTTCTGATGCTCCTACCGGTAGCACAAAGTTGGCGAAAAAATTTAGTGTGCTTCATGTTAAACTTAGGAAAACATAATTTTGTATCAAACATTTTTTTTTCTTCCTATATTGTACCGGCCTGCAAACAGGTAAAAGTGTTACCTCTGCAGAATTACAATTGCAATATCGTTGCAATATCATAAAAATATCATAAAAATATTTTATCTACATCCGTCGTCAAAAAAATTTTTTCAACGATTTGTTTTTAAATAACAACAGTTACAAGATTGTTCAATTTTGGCGTGTTCAAAACGGTTTTTCAGAAGCACGGACTGTAACAGAATGTACATGTTTTTTTTTAGTTAAACTACAGTATAGCAACGAGTTTTTTGTCGCTAAATAGCCCATCAGTAGGTTTCTGGTGATTAAGAGGTATCGTGCTAATGATATTGCAAAGTGTGTAATCACAAATACGTACAACTATCACAGCATAAGGTACCATCGTCAGTAAAAGACCTTGCTTACATTACTAAATGAAACACGTTATCGCTCAGCTAACATTTTAATATTCACGTGGTGTTAAATAATTAACTACAACCACTAGTCAACATGCTACAAAGTCGTTATTTTTTTAGGCTAAGTTTTCATATCAACTCATGATTTCTATGAGCGATAATTTAAAAGACGATTTAACAAAACTTAAGAGAAACGTTTACTGGTCGTTTTGGTCATGGATGATAAAAAATTTAAAAAGCATTAAGCTGTATATAGTTCGTACTTGGACGAAACATAACTTAAACGTAATTTTGGCCACAATCAAACAGCAAAAACGTATTACTGAACCATCACATTGCAAGTTCTTACTAGGTCTATTTATTTGGCACTGAGCGGGTTGTTAGTAATCATTTGACAGGCAATTGATAAGAACTTTGCGGGTACTTGACTGGTACATGGCAGGTACTAGTGGATATTTGTCGGGCACTTGTTGAGTATTTAACAGGCACTTGACGAATACTTAGCGGATACATAGCGGGTATTTGCTGGGTACTTGGCAGGACCTCAAAAGGTGCTTAATATCACTAGCGTGCACTTGGCGGGTACTTGATGGGTACTTAATGAGCATTTATCGGGTGCTTAGCGGGAAAGTGCCCGTCAAGTATCCGACAAGTTCTGGCAAGTACCCACCAAGTGTCAGCCTAGTGTCTGTCAAGTACCTGCCAAGTAACCGTTAAGTACCTGCCAAGTGTTAAGTGCCTCCAAGCTATCATTGATATGCAAGCTAAATACTTTCTGTGTGATGGTGCAGAACTATGTTATTTTTATAATTGTCACCCAAGTTACACTTAAGTTGAGTTTTAGCAAAGTACTGGTTGTGTGTAGCTAGATACATTTCAAAGTTTCTGTTATCCACGCGGAGTAGTCGAGTTGCATCTTAAAAAAAGAAAATGGGTGGAGTTGCATTTCAAACCCTAATGACATATGTTGGACTTGCGTCCCAGTCATTAAAAGAGTATGGTGAAATTGCGTCCTGGTCATTATATCACAATTAGTCATACTTGTAAAAATGAAATTTTATTTTTACATCCAAATATCCTCCAACAAAACAATCATTGTTTTTTTTGTTGAGTAAAATTATTTTCTAAATGACACTGTAATACATTGTAATTTATAGCGATCAATTATACGAGTAAAAATGTTTTCGAAAGCACCTGAATATACTGCAATCAAGATATCGAACCTTCTTGATAACGGTTCATTGTATCTCTCAAAAAATCTCCTCTTTCTATAATTTTTGTATTGAAAATGTGCATTTATATATATATATATATATATATATATATATATGTATCCATTTGTACTACTTCAAATACTTTAATGAATACAAACAAATGAAAAAAGCTGTTGAAACGCGAATGACATGATTCACAGTTAATGGTTGTTCTACAAATTGTACTGTAGAACCTTTCCCATATCGAAGGAGACGCAAGTGCGTCAAATTAAATGTACTGTTTCATAATATAGTCACCAAATTCTCCATAATATGCAGGTATATTCTATATCACGCGAATAGATTTATATAATAGGTGTTTGCTTCTAAGCACTGGACTACACTGACTTGTAATTCTAAGTTTTCGTACATCAAAGTCGTTTTCACACGCACAAGTTAAATCTTGTGAGTATATACCACCCATAATTTATATCGTACGTTAACTGTAATGTGAATAAATATCTATAATAAGGTATGAAGTTTGAACCAACTATCCATGATGCAAATTCAAAAAAATATTAACGTTTTGAATGAAAGTAAATATCGTTTTAGTAACCTGCTAGTTTAAAGATATAAGTAAATAATTCGACCATATATTTCTAACGTCCAGGACACAGTTTTACGATACCCTAGAACGCAATTCCACCATAGTTTTCTAGTGACCAGGGCGAAATTTCACCAGTGTTGAGACTGCTGATAACGTTTGGGGCGCTACTCCATCATGATTGACCATAATTATTAGCAAAAAATTTTCTCAAGTTGAATTGAAAAGCTTGAATCAACTCCACGGATGAATTGAATCTTGAAAAGCTTACTCAT